AAAAAAAACACTAGAGACTTGTAAAAGTCTGAGCTGGAGAGGTAGCTCAGTGGAATAAGTGCTTACCTGGAAAGCACAAGGTCCTGAGTTTGATTCCTGGTACCACAAAAATACATACATACATGCATAAAAGCCTGGAAAGCCAAGTGTGATTCTGCCGCAGTGCTGCACTTGCTCGGGCCATCACCTCAGGTGAGGCCACCTTGTCAGCTATCAGTAGTCACCTGCACAGAGCCTGTACCTTGCCTATTGGCTGTGCACTGCCAGGGCTGGTCAGAAGTCTGTAGGGTGTCGTCCTGTGGCTGCTGTTTGCGGAGCGCCTTGGCCATCCACTGAGTCTGCGCTCTTAGTTCACAGCAGTCAGTAGTGTCTCTGTGCCTGTATATTCCACGTGGGGAAAAGCTCAGAGAGATTGAGTAATTCTGCCCAAGGCCTTGCAGGTGTGGTGACACTCGGGAACCTTTAGCTGTGCCGTACCAATGCCGTGTCTTCTTGCAGTTGATGTGGCGACTTCAGAAAGATTTCAGCAATAACAGTCTCCTCAAATAGAAAACCTAAGCTAAGTGAGGCTGCATTACAGGATTGTCCTCTGCAGCCAGCCTAATGCTGAGCGGTATAAACTACCTCCTCTCATAGTAATGTCCCTTTGGGGCCCATTCTGCTAATAAGCTGCTCCCTCTGATGTGCCACGAGGCCAGAAGGGAAAGCAGACCTGCATCTGGCTGATCCAGAGGTTAGGCCCCTGGAAATGTGGGCGAAGGACTAGCCGCCTTTAACGAAAGGGTGCGCTGCCTAGTGATGGGTGATGGCTCCAGAGCCTCTGCTGGAGAGGGGGGCTGCTGAACAAGGCGTGCAGGGCGGTTTGAACTGAGACTGCAGGAAACCAGAGGCAGGCCACAGGGTGGGGTGCGCAGCGCTCACTGTAGGTCTGTTGTGGTGGTCAGAAGCTTGGGGTCACTGTGCTCATCTCCCTAGTGCCCAGCCCACAGGAGTATTTCCATCCAACACCTGGGCCCTTGGTCCTGCAGCCTGCGCTGGTTCCCGGTCTCCTTACACCCAGACACCTAGAGTACCCTTCCTCACCGGACAAGGATTCCAAGGCCAGAGACCAGCCCTTCTGGGAAGGCTGCCGCCCCTTCTTACGCTCATTGCACTTGGGGTTTTTGTTGTTCTTTGTTCTTTGTTTTTTTGAGACAAGGTCTTACTATGTAGTTCTTGCTGGCCTTGCATTCACTGTGTAACCAGGGTAGCTTCAAACTCATGGTGATCCTCCTGCCTCAGCCGCATGAGTGCTGAGATTCTAGGAGTGCACCAGTACGGCTGACATAAATTTTTTTATGGAATCCAAAAAGTGGAATTGCTAGGTCAAAAAGCACATGTATTTCCAATTTTGTTAGTTTTTTTGGGGGGATCAGGGGTACCAGGCATTGAACTCAGGACCCTGTGCTTGCCAGGCAAGCGCTTATTCTACTGAGCTATCTCCCTGGGCCCTATTTATTTTATTTTATTTTATTTAATGATG